TTTTCACTGGAGAGTCTGGGGTAACACAAGAATGAGTGGGAGGCTGGGAACTGAGCCAGTGATGTGGAAAGGACAGGTCTGAGCCAGTGGCCGTGTAGGGAGAGCTTAGGGACTGTTCTGTTGTTAAAGGCAGTCAATATAGGAGGAGGTCTCTGGGTGGATGGGCTGAGAATGGGGTACATAGAAGGAGCCAGACCCATCGTCTACCAAGGACCAACTCAGTCCTATCCCTAAGTGCATAGCAAGGAACTAAGGGAGAGCCGGACACCTGTGGCTCATGACCTGTAATACTAGCTACACAGGAGGCTGAAATCTAAGGATTGGGGTTCAAAGCCAGCCCGAGCAAGGAAGTCCGAGACTTGGATCTCCAACTAACCACCAAAGAGCCAGAAGTAGAGCTGAGGCTCAAGTGGTAGAGAGCTAGTCTTGAGCAAAAAAAGCTCAGGGACAGTGCCCAGACTACGAGTTATTTATTTAGTGCCCCAAGACTAACACTAAATAAAATTTAAAGAATAAAATGAAAAAGGAAGAAAGAAATTGAGGAGAATCTGTGTGGAAGGCCAGGCCTTCTGCACCTGTGTGGTTTATAGGGCTGAGACAGAAAAGGGGGTGTGAGGTGAGGGTCCCCTAGGGCTGGACAGGCCTAAAAGGGCCCAGATTCATTTTGCTACATCTAGCCAAAAGAACTACAGGACTTTAGCTTCATGTGAACTCTGGTCCTGGGTGCTGTCCCTCAGCCTTTCAGCTCAAGGATAGCGCTCTACCACTTGAGCCACAGCGCCATTTCCAGTTTTCTGAGTGGTTTATTGGAGATGAGTCTCACAGTCGTTCCTGCCCTGGCCTGGCTTTGAACCACGATCCTCAGATCTCAGTCTCCTGAGTAGCTAGGATGACAGGCGTGAGCCACCGGCGCCGGGCTAAGTTTTTGGGTTTTTTTTATTTTTTATTTACACGAGATATAACATTTTTTTTTTGGGGACAGGGTTTTGCCACGTAGCCCAGGCTGGCCTTGAACTCATGATTCTCCCGCCCCAGCCTCCCTAGAGCTGACAGTACTGGCTTGTGGGTGACACCCTCTGGTCTAAGTCCGTGCCATGCAACGTTTATGACATGCTTACCCTAAACATAAAGTAACTTCGTTGCTTATCCAAAATTCACAGCTTGGAATCTGCCTGGCAATCCCGGGCCTGGTGACGGATGCAGGTGCAGGGGCCTGGAAGCCGGGCAGCAGCGCCCGAGGGCCGCGGGGTGCGGTGAGTGGCGGGGGACGAGGCCGCGGCCCCGGAGCCCCCCCCCCCCGCCGCAGGACGTTGGTTTCGTCCCAGCTCCCCCCTCCCGCGCCGCGTGGACTCGTCCTAAGGGCCCATCGATAACTCTAGCTTCGGCCCCGGCCTCAATCGACTCGCTCCGGCTCTCCAAGCCGCCCTGGGCCGCGGCCGAGCGCTGCGCGTGTTAAGGTACGGAAGCCGCGGGACGGAGGCTGGGAAGCGGCTGCTGGGTGGCTGGGAGGACCCGGCCGGGGGAGCATTCCAGAAGGACGGGGCCAGGGAGCTGGACGGAGCAACGACAGAGTTCGGGGCGGCGGGGGGGCGGGGAGGTCCGGGCCAACAGCGCCCCGGCCCTTTGGGGCCTGCCGCCGTGCAGCCACACATGCGCAGTCGCGGCGCCCGGCTCCTGCGGCCCGCTCGCCGTGCCCGGCCGCGCATGCGCAGCTCGCTCCTGCGGCAGACAGCCACCGGCGTGCCTCGCCGGTGCGGGCGGCTGCGGGCTGAGGCCGGCGGCGAAGGCGCACGCGGCGTGGGGCCCTGGGGAGGCCGTCCGAGCCGCACTGGCCCGCGCTCCCCGCTTGTCCCCCCGCGCCCGTCTCCTCCCCAGATGCTCTGAGTTTTGACCGTCGCCGGGCAGGCCTCGGCCGCCATGAACACCTCCCCAGGCACGGTGGGCAGCGACCCGGTCATCCTGGCCACGGCCGGCTACGACCACACCGTGCGCTTCTGGCAGGCCCACAGCGGGATCTGCACGCGCACCGTGCAGCACCAGGACTCCGTATCCTCCACCCCGCCCGGGGGCGGGAAGGTGGCCCCCGCGGGACAGCAGCAGGGGCGTCCGGGCTCTCTTCCCTGCCACCTTCCTTAACCCACCCAGCAGGTGAACGCATTGGAGATCACGCCCGACCGCAGCATGATTGCTGCTGCAGGTACAGGTGATCCTTGACTTCTGCCCACCGCCTCCCGGCCTCTGACAGGTCCACCCAGCCCTGCCTCAGTTCCGCCCCTGTCCCCAGGTTACCAGCACATCCGCATGTATGACCTCAACTCCAATAACCCCAACCCCATCATCAGCTACGACGGGGTGAATAAGAACATCGCGTCGGTGGGCTTCCACGAGGACGGCCGCTGGATGTACACAGGCGGGGAGGACTGCACCGCCCGCATCTGGGATCTCAGGTGTGCGTCCCGGAGCTGGGCAGGAGGGCCCCGCCTAGGGTTGGCTGTGGGCTGAGCCAGGGTGCTTTGTGTTGGCGCTCTAGCGAAGGAAGGAGAAAAGCCTGATGGAGCTCTCCCTACCTTGAGGCTAGGCGCTGGCCTTCCATTTCCCAGGGAGGAAAGGCCAGAATTCCCCACGAGTCAGCTCCCAGCAGCTGGAGAAGTTGGCCAGGGCAGGGCATCCAGCCCGAGACAGTGTGTGACTCTTGACCGCCACCACAGGTCCCGGAACCTGCAGTGTCAGCGCATCTTTCAGGTGAACGCGCCCATTAACTGTGTGTGCCTGCACCCCAACCAGGTGAGGGGCATTCCTGGGGCCGGGCACCCCAGGGGGCGTAGGGGGACCAGCAGCGTGCTCATGCCTCGCCCGCCCCACACACCCCAGGCGGAGCTCATTGTGGGTGACCAGAGTGGCGCTATCCACATCTGGGACCTGAAGACCGACCACAACGAGCAGCTCATCCCCGAGCCCGAGTTCTCCATCACATCCGCCCACATCGACCCCGACGCCAGCTACATGGCAGCCGTGAACAGCATGGTGAGCCCAGTGGACGGGCCGGAGGAGAGGCAGCTCCTGGGTCGGGTGCATCCCTGGGTGTCCCGTGGGCCCCGTGCTGCCCCCCCAGCCCCAACATCCATCCTGCGCCTCACGCCAGGAGCCTCCGTGTGCCGCTCCCGCTGGCCCCCTTGCTGCTTGCCCTGTCCCCTGCCACCACCCGCCCCGCAGGCCGGCCACTCCCCTCCCCTGCTCACCTCCTGGTGCTGGTGGGCTCCCTTCCTCCTCTCTGGGCCTCCGGACCTAAGTCACCTATTTCTTCCTCGGCCATTGAAGCGTCCTGCAGCCTTGCTGGCCGGACTTCGACATTCCCTTAAGGAGACCACGAGATGCTGGGCTCCTTCCAACGGCCCAGAGAATACTCTGGTTTGGGCCTCATTTTCTCCCTTTACGTCACTTAAATCCCAGCATGTTGCTTTTTCCACATCCCAGACTTCTCCCTGGGTACCGCCTGCTGGCCAAGGCGCTTCCCTGCTGGGCAAGTAGCACCCTTAGCCTGTGGGAGAGAGTGAGTGAGTGAGTGTGTGTGAGTGTGTGTGTGTGTGTGTGTGTGTGTGTGTGTGTGAGAGAGAGAGAGAGAGAGAGACAGGCCGGTGTTGACTTGTGCTCTTGGCTGGCTGGGCATGCCGTTGAGTGGGGCCAGGCCTCCCCGGGGCCTCCTGTAGGCAGGAGGTGCAGGACCCACCTGCCTGTCATACCTCTGGTCCCTTTGCACATTTAGCCACCACTGCGGGGTGTCCCCAGATCCAGGCCTAGGTTTCAATGCATTCTGGTGCTCTGGGTGTAGAATGACTGCCCCCCACTGTCTGTAGGGCAACTGTTATGTGTGGAATCTCACGGGGGGCATTGGTGACGAGGTGACCCAGCTCATCCCCAAAACCAAGATTCCAGCCCATACGCGTTACGCCCTTCAGTGCCGCTTCAGCCCTGACTCCACGTGCGTGTTGGCCTGGTGGCTGGTGGGATCTGGCCTGCCTGGGGCTGGCAGTTTGGTGGGGGGGGGGTCGGGTAATGCAGGAGCAGCTGCATCCCCACGCACCCCTCCCCCCAGGCTCCTCGCCACCTGCTCAGCTGACCAGACATGCAAGATCTGGAGGACGTCCAACTTCTCTCTGATGACGGAGCTCAGCATCAAGAGCAGCAACCCTGCAGAGTCGTCTCGAGGCTGGATGTGGGGCTGCGCTTTTTCCGGGGACTCGCAGTACATCGTCACGGGTGAGCCTCGCCCCCCCCCCCCCGCCCCGCCCCACCAGGGGGGCCCTTCCTCCCCGTTCTCCGCCAGAGAGCCTCCCCTGCCCCTCCAGGGGGTCCTGTCCTCCCCTTCCCTCTCTCCCTCCCCCCTCCAGGAGGGCCCTCTGGAGGGGCCAGTTGTGCTGCCTTCCTCCCTCTGCCCTAGGCCTTGGCCCTGAGTTGCCGCTCCATTCCCCTCTGTAGCCTCGTCTGACAACCTGGCCCGGCTCTGGTGTGTGGAGACTGGAGAGATCAAGAGAGAGTATGGTGGGCACCAGAAAGCTGTTGTCTGCCTGGCCTTCAATGACAGTGTGCTGGGCTAGCCTGAGTTCTCTGGACTGCGGACCACCACCAGGCAGTGGCTCCGGTGGGATTCGCCTCCACAGCACCCTGGCCGAGGAGAGCCTGTGCGCGTCAGGTCAGCTCTCCCTCTTGGCCAGCCCAGATCTGCCAGGCCAGCCTGCTCTCTGTGCCCAGTTGCTCTTCAGGATGCCCACTGCGCCAGGCTGCATTGCCTGGGTGGGCAAGGGCCGCACCGCCGAAGAGACTGGAGCCCAACCCGAGGCTGAGCCCCGTTTCCCTCCCGAGCCCCGCCCCCGCCCCACCCCGTTCAGTCCTGAGGCTGCAGGGAGCACCACCATGGCGAGATCAGGGTTTATTAGTCTCTGACAGCAGCCGGCGTCCGCGGCGCTGGCCGGGGACAGGGCCGGCCTGGGCCAGGCAGGGTTTTAGTCCGGGAGGTAATAAAAGCAGACGGACACGCAGATGTTGCTCGGGAAGCAGATGTCGATGCAGAGATAGATCAGTCGCTGCCTCTGGGGCCCTGGGGAGGGAAAAGGGGCTCATCAGTTCCTAAAGGGCTCTCCTTGCTTAGCCCGTCCTGTGAGAGCCCAGTCCCCTCCACACGCCTGCCCCGACTCACCCTCTGCTCGACGGGCCCAGTAGATGGGGGTCTCTGCACAGAGGTGCCGCACGGGGGCCCCCACCTGGGCAGGCTCCACGGCACGGTCCCCAAGCACTGCCAGCAGCTCCTGTGTGTGCTGGGGGTCCCGGCCGGGCGTGCGGGGTCCTTGGGCCTGTAGAAAGACTCAGTGGGCCCCGTGTGCAGGCAGTGCCCTGCCCTTGGCTGGGTGGGACGTCACCTCCCGCCCCCACCGCCGCAGCATCTGCTCCTGCCAGCAGCCTCAGCAGAGGGAAGATAGAGCTTTCTGTTCCTCTGAAACTGGAGCCCTGGCTGGCCAGCGGGGCTGCACACAGGACCTTTTGTCTGGCCCCTGGCCTGCAGGCCCGGCCAGCTGGGCTTGCTCACCCTAGAAGTGTCCACCAGCAGGCGCAGGGTCTCCCGGTCTCGGGCCTCCATCGGGCGGAGGAAGCAGGCCTTGTGCTCCGCAGGGCGGTAACAGACGCAGCCCTGGGGAGGCAGGTGGGTGAGGCGGGGGCATCCCAACCCCAGGCAGGCTGGCAGCCTCCCGGCCCACTCACGCTCTGCCCGTCGAACAGCACAGCCCAGCTGCGGTTGCTCTGAGGCGGAGTCACTAGGATGGTTGCCATGTTCCTGGCCATGTCCACTAGGGTGGTTTGGTTGGACTGGGGCCCCGGGAGCCCCGGGAGCGGGAGCCGGAGCATCTGCGGCAGCGGCTGGGGGAGGAAGGTTAGACTTCAGCCGTGCAGGGGTCCCAAGCACGCCATGCCCTGGCCCGGGCCATTTCTGTTTTCCGCGTAGCCTCTCCCTGTACTCTTTCCCCGTTCCGGGCCAGTGTTCTGGCCCTGGCTCCACTGAAGGGCTGAGGCGGGCGAGCTGCCTGGCGCACCCCTCTGCTCACGCCCTGCTGGAGGGGCTCACCTTGGGTGGGCTGTGAGCAGAGCCGAGCAGCGCTCCGGTCACGGCCCCCGCCGCAGCCAGCGCCAGCAGCAGCAGCAGCCCCGCGCCTCTCCAGACCCCGAGGCAGGATTTGGTCTTCAGCTGGGGGCATCAGAGCAGGCTTGTTCAGGGAAGGAGGGGCTGCGGGGGGGGGGAGGGGGGAAGGGGGATAGCCTTCCTGTCCCCTGCTCAGGACAGCTCAGGTCCTTGTCCCAGGGGAGAAGGCGCTTACCTGGGCAGGCCTAGGCCCTGGGCTCCCGCTGTGGCTGCCCTCCTCCATACTGCAGCCCCTACTGACAAAGCACCAATTGTCCCCTGCCCCCTTCCAGCCCTCGGCCAGGGAAGTCTCAGGAAGCCTTTGATGAGCCCAACGACTGTGCCCTCCCAGACCCCACCGCCTCCTCCCCGCCCGCCAGTATCTGATATCCCCGATAGTGCCAGGATGGCCCTCTCCCCCACCGGCTGGCCCAGCCCTGGACGCCTGGCTTGTGCGGACAGAAGAGCATGGGGTCTTGGGAGGACATGAAAGTGAGGCCTTCGCAGGAAGCCAGCCCAACTGGCCGGCTAGGGAGTGCCCAGGCCCAGCCGGTGATTTTATCTGGTTTGGGCAGGTTTAATGCTTCCTAGTGTGTTTCTGGTGCCTGTTACCTCAATAAATGAGTGTTCAATACACTAAGGGTGCAGGGCTATGCCCATCCTTCCCAGCCAGCACCACCAGAGGGCTGTGAGCATCCCATAGACCCGTGCCCAGGAGGGGCCCAGGCCGGCCCACAGTGAAGCCGGCCTCCAGCACGCCAGGACAGTGAAGTCAGCTTCCCTGCCCCCCCTCGCCCCCAGCACCATTTCTGCTCTCCTCACATTGCCTTGTGTGGGTGTGCCCACCACCCGCCACCACCCGAGGCCCTGTCTGGGGGCTCTGCTTTTCCTGATGCTTCTCTGAAGTGGACTGGGCTGCAGCAGCCAAGTGTTCCAGCTCTGGAATTGGAATCCCACCTTGGCCTTCCTTTCTGTGCTGGGCCTTGGGTTTTAACCCAGGGCCTGTGCACTGTCCCTGAGCATTTTTTTTTGTCAGTTGTGGATCTTGAATTCTGGGCCTGGACACTGTCCCTGAGCTCTTAAGCTCAAGGCTAGCACTCTACCACTTGAGCCATTTCTGGTCTTTTCTGTTTATGTCATGCTCAGGAATCAAACCCATGGCCTTATGCATTCAAGGCAAGCACTCTACCATTAAGCCACCTTCCCAGCTCCTCCCTGAGCTTTTTTGCTCAGGGCTGGTGCTCTATCACTTAAGCACAGCCCAAGTAGAGACAAGACTCATGGAGCTGTTGCTGACTTAAGACTCTGATGCTCAGATCTCAGCCTTCTGAATAGCTAGGATTACAGGTGTGAGCCTCCAGTGCTCTGCTACTTATTCTTACCCTGTCGCCACCCACCCCTAGGCAGAAGTCCCTGCTATGAAGACGAGAAGACAGCTCAGTTGGAGTTTTAGAGTTTAATGTGCATTTGGGTACACACAGTGAAGTGGGTGGGAGGTGGGGCACATAAGAGACTTCCGGGCCCCTCCCCAGCAGATCAAGGCTGTGGCAGCTGCTGTGGGGGATGAGGCCCTCATGGGCCTGCTCAGTATCCAGACACACCGTTAGCCATCATCTGCATTGCCACCCTCCACTGCCCGGCCACACGGCCCCTGGCCGTGGGGTGCGTGGTTGCAGGTACGGGACACTTTATTGCTGTGAGAACTTGGTGAATGGGAAGTGTTGTGGCCACTGGGATTCAGGGTGAAGCACTGGGAAGGAGTCGGCCGGGAGCCATGTTCCAGGCTCTGCCCAGTGAGTGCTGCAGACGCCCCACTCTGCCAGGTCAGCAGACACAGGGAACAGGTGCAGGAGAGGAGGCCAGGCCCTGCTGAGAGCCTGTTGGCCGCTGGGCCCTGCCCATCTTACCATTCGGCTATCAACAAGGGAGTCTGAAGCCAAAGCAGGTGGCTTCACCGGCCACTGATCAAACCCCACCCTGACCCAGGCTCACCCCAGGACAAGGGAAGACAGGAAGAGTGAGTATTTTGTAAAGGACTTCCTGCACTGAGGTTGGGGCACCTCTCCCCTTCTTACCCCTGGGGCGGGGGTGGGGGCGGGAGCCACAGGAAATCCTTGGCCAGCACACTGCTAGCCTTCAGGTGAGCTGTGGGACATGGAAATTCTTCAGTGGGATTTACCCCTATGAGACAGAGTACAACCATTAATCTACACACTTACAATTCAATGCCACCACTCACAAATGTGTTCACAAGTTAAAAAATAATGTTTTTTGGTACCAATGCTGCTCTGAGCTACCTTCACAGCAGCCCAGAGTTCAGTGACGGCACCCACACCCATTCGGCCACTGGGCCTACCATATACTCAGTCTGAGTCACCTGGGTTTAAATGCACACTTCAGACAGCTGAGGTTTGGCTGGGCAGTTAACAGAACTGGGCAGCTGAGTGTGAAGAGCTGCAGCCCTGGACATCTGAAACGGAACAGATACTCAATTGTGACATCAAAGTGGTTTTCAAGGAAGCAAGCAGGCAGTGGCAAGGCAGCACCTCTCACCCCGAGAACAGGGCGGCACCATCAGGGAGCAGCCCCTCCTCCACTCCAGAGGTGAGGCTGGATGTTGCATCGGGCTGCTGGGCTGCGTGGGCACACTGGAAGCCACAAGCCAGCCCTTCTTCCTCTCTGCCCTTCAGTGATGATCCCTGAATTAAGTTTTCCAGTAAAACATGTGACGTACACCCCTAGACCCAACTCGATCTCACAAGCAAGGCTTGAGGGCTACCTGAATCCTGGGCAGATACTATGTCTGCCCTCACTGACAGATACAAAGCCCAAGACCCACCTGACAATGCCCTCCAAGCTTAAAAGTGCATCTTAAAATATAAGCATCTGTAAACAACACCTCCCCCCAAGCGTTTACTTACAACATTAACAACTACCACCCTCTGCTTAACTTCAATTGCAGTCTGTGGCCACTCCAACCATGCCTAAGTCCCACCTATTAATCTGGGTAACTGATTTTTCAATTTTCTTTTTCTTTTTTTTTTTTATTCCCGAGGTTAAAGACACTAGATCTTTAACCTTGAAGGGCGGGCAAGAGGTCAGCTATGCTGTCAACATAGAAGTCGGGGACCATTTTCTTCTTGGACATACAGTCACTTTCCTGATTGCTCTTCACATCCCCAAGAGTGGAGACTCCCGTGAGGGTCAGGATGGTCTTCAGGCCACAGGTGGCGCCCAGCAGGATGTCTGTGTCCAGGCGGTCCCCCACCATGATGGTGCGCTCCGGGACGATGCCGTATTCCTGGGACACGCAGTCGAAGATAAACCGGCTGGGCTTCCCGATGATGTCGGCCTGGCGCTGGGCAGCCATCTCCACAGCTCGAACCAGGCAGCCGGTACCTGCGGGACGGAAGGAAGGGGACGTCTGGGTCAGGGGGCAGGCAGGCAGGCAGGCAGGGGCCGAGGCCCGCCCGGCCGCCTCCCCGCCCCGGGGCGCACGGACCCGCGATGAAGTGGCCGTTCTCCAGCGGGAGCCGATTGTCCATGTTGGTGCCCACGAGCAGGCAGCCGGGCTGCTGCAGGTAGCGCACGGCCTTGGTGAGCTTCATGTAGCTGAAGTGCGGGTCGAAGCCCACCACCACCGCGCGCACGTCCGGCTCCAGCGGGGCGGCCAGCCAGTCGCCGGGACCCTCGCCCCGCAGCGGCTCGGGACCCACGCCCACGCTGGCGATGCCCACGGCCTCCAGCTCGGCGGCCAGGGCCGGGCTGCCCAGCACGTAGGCCTTGGGGGCCGGCGCGCCGGACAGGCGCTGGCGCAGGTAGAGCGCGGTGCAGTAGGCCGTGCCGAAGACCTCGAGGCCGGCGCCGGGCCCCGCCGGGCCGCCGAAGCCCAGGCGCCGCAGCTTGTCGGCGTAGGCGGCGCGCGTCTTGCTGCTGTTGTTGGTGATGAAGCCCAGGCGCTTGCCGCGGGCCCGCAGCGCCCGCAGGGCCTCGGGCGCGCCCGGCACGGCCGTCTCCCCGCGCCACAGCACCCCGTCGCAGTCAAACAGGACCGTGTCCACGTCGGCCAGCAGCGCCTGGGCCCGCTCGGCGCTCAGCCGCACGCAGCGGGCGTCGTCGCCGCCGGCCTCCGACTCCGCCATGGCCGCCCGCCGCCCGCCGCCCGCCGCCACCGGCCACCGCCGCCGCCGCCGCCACCGGCCGCTCCTCGCAGCCGCCCGCCGCGGCGCTCGCCCCGCCCCCGGAGCGCTCATTGGCCCCGCGCCTCGCGCGCGCCGCCCATTGGTCGCCGTCCGCGCCAATCCATGCGCGCGTACCGCGAGCTGCGAAGGCTCGGCGCCAACGGCCGCGTCCCAGTTCGGGAAGGCAGGCGGGCATTGGCTGCCGGGCCCCAGGAGCCCCGACGATTGGCTGGCCGGGCGCCAACCGGCGTTCAGGGTAGAGCGCTCGCTGCGGAAACGTTGCGGACCGAGCGCGGCACGGAACGTAAGAGCGCTGCTCATTGGCGGCCGCGGGGCAGCTCGCCCATTGGAAGCCGGCGGTCAGCATAGGTGACGGAGACCCTCGGTTAAGTGACCCAGGGCCAGGACGGCTGCCGATTGGCCGGCTTTCCCGTGGTGGGCGGAGCCCCCGCTGGAGCCGGTGGGGCGGGGCGCGGTCCTTCCCCGGCCGGAATCACGTCCGCATCCTTGCGGAGACTCGCGGGGGCCTGCGCTCACGCTCGGGCCGCGGCGTCGGCGCGTGAGGCGCAAACCGTCCGGGTCCTGGGACCCAGCGGAGCCTTCTTCCCCAACGGGCCCGGCGCCCCCGCCTGCAGCCTCTGCCGGCGGCGGGGCGGGGCTGCGGCCGAGCCGGACCGTCCCGGAGCCGCCGGCCGCCGGGGTCCTCGCAGCTTCGTCTTCACTCGAGGGGCATTGGGAGCTGCGCTGCCCGGTGGAATGTCCACCCGCAACCCCGGCCAAGTGCGGGCGTGCTGCACCGTTCGCGTCGGGACCAGCCGGGACCCACACGCCGTTTACTTTAGCACACGGAGCCAGAGTCCGATTTTCCTTCGCATACCTTGCGTGTGTGCGTGCGTGTGTGTGCGCATTCTGGGCCTTGATTCTGGGCATTGTCCCTGAGCTTTTTTGTTCAAGGCTTGGTGCTCTTAGCATTTGAGCCACAGCTCCATTTCCGGTTTTTGAGTAGGTTAATTGGAGATAAGAGTCTCTTGGGAACTTTTCTGCCTGGGCTGGCTTGGAACGGTGAGATCCTCAGATCTTGGCCTCCTGAGTAGCTAGGATGACAGGTGTGAGCCCTTGCGCCTGGCCATGGGGCTGGTTTAACTTCGGCGGAGGGATAATTATGTCTGCAGATGGCAGAAAGTGGGCTGACCTAGCTGTAAGAGGTACAATTCACCAAGAGGGGAAGATTGGGGACAGTGTCCTGGAGAAATCTGGAAGTACCAGTCGCCCTCAAGGAAGAGTACTGAACTTTGGTGGGAACAGGGAAGGATGACCTTGTGCCACACCTGCAGCCCTGTCCCCCCCCTCCTTTTTTTTTCTCTGATTAGTTAAGAGTTGGAATCTGAAAGGATTTTCTGCCCAGGCTGGTTTTGATCCTTGATCTTTTGGATCTCAGCTTCTTGAATAGCTAGGCTTGCAGGCAGGAGAGACCAGCATTCAGCCTAAAAGGGCTCCTTGATGTGTATCTGAAACACAGTACACCTCCAGTGGATGGCACCATTAGGCCTCCCCCCAAGTGAAAAACTGCTCTCAATGCTTTTTTCTGGTTCCCCGAACTGCCCTGGCTTGCCCTTGAGTCCTCTAAGCAGAGATTATCTCTTTAGCCAGCTTTTCTGGCTTACCTACACATTCAGGCCACCCAGTGCTTTAATGCGCTTCCTTCCTCAATTCCCTGGATGCTGGCTTTTCTTTTCTCAGCACACCCTTAAGGGAGGTGTTCCAGGGATCTGGACTCAACTTCTCTTGAGAAGCCCTGCAGACCCATGCTCCAACCCCCAACCTGCTGTTTCTTCTCTTTGTCTCTGAGACATCCATACTAAACCCTGACAGCTTCTCCAGCTCTCTTCCTGCCTCTCTGTAGAGCCCTGAGATCCTTCTAGTGGCAGAGGGATCCTTGTTAATTGGCGGATAACACAGTTTGAACCTGCTTGTTCTGCTGGTACTCCACTTGAACCACCAGCCAGAAAGATCCTTAGGAAACACCAACAGTCATTCTTCTTAAAACCTATCGGTGGTGTAGCAGGGTATGGAGGCCCATACCTATAATCCTAGCTATTCAGGAGGCTAAGATCCAAGAATCAAGGTTCAAAATCCAGGCAGGAAAGTCTTGAGACTTTGATTTCCAATTTACCACCAAAACTCTGGTAATGGAGCTGTGGCTTATGTGGTAAAGCAACAGCCTTAAGTGAAAAAGCTAAGGTCAAGTGCCCAGGTCTTGAGTTCAAACCCCAGTACCAGTACAAAAAACAAAAAACCTGTCAAGCCAGGTGCCTGTGGCTCACGCCTGTCATCCTAGCTACTCAGGAGGCTGAGATCTGAGGACTGCAGTTCAAACCCAGTCTGGACAGAAAAGTACCCATGAAACTTTTTTTTTGGTCAGTCGTGGGGCCTGAACTCGGCCTGGGCACTGTCCCTCAGCTACTCAGCTGTAAACTAGCACTCTACCACTTGAGCCTCAGCTCCACTTGAGCCTCAGCTCCACTTGAGCCTCAGCTCCACTTGAGCCTCAGCTCCACTTCTGGCTTTTTCTGCTTATGTGGTGCTGAGGAATCGAACCAGGGCCTCATGCATGCAAGGCAAGCAATCTACCACTGAGCCACCTTCCCAGCCCCCGCCCCCCCCCCCCCCCATGAAACTCTCTCCAATTAACTGCTCAAAACCCAGAAGTGGATCTGTGGCTCCAAGTGGTAGAGTGCTAGCCTTGAGCAAAAGAGCTCAAGGACAGCACCCAGGCCTTGAGTTCAAGCCCCAGAACTAGCAACAAAACAAAAAAAAAAAAAGTCAGTGGTAAGTAACTCATGACTTGTTTTCAGAATGCAGCTCCAGGGCTAGAGGCATGGCTCAAGTGGTAAAGCACCAGTTCTGAGGAAAGTTGAGCCAAGATGCCCTGAGTTCAAGCCCCTGGTACCTACCTGCACGCAGGAAAAACTTCATCAATCATTCCACGCTGCATGCTGATGACCCCTGTCTGCTGCTGCATGCTGATGACCCCTGTCTGCTTCTCGTACATCTCAGCTCCCGCCAAGCCAGGTTTCCAGGGGCCCAGCTGGGTGGTGCAGCATGGAGCAACTTTTCTGTGTCCTGAGGGTAGAGCTGCCCCCTCTGGGCTTATGTCTGAGAGCTGTGTATGGTGCTCCATCCTCCTTGGAGATGATCTGAAATGGCTCTCAAGGACCCCTCACACCAGCATCCAGGTGGTACACTGAGAATAACAGTCGGCAAAGCCAGCCTGGTGGGTCCCAGCCTGGGTCTGTCGTGGGATCGGCCTCCAGGCAAGTATCCCGGAAGGTCTGCGCTGCTGCCTTTTCATCTTCAAAAATGGGGATGATCTCTTAGATGAATCAATCCAACAAATCAGTTTCAAAGAGGTCACTAAATGTAACCCGTATAAAACATTAAAAGGAACTTAAGTAGGAAGGATCAGAGCAGCACTATTCACCACAGCCAAAAAGGTGAGAGCCATGAGAATGTGATGGAGGAGAATATAAATGTGGTCTGTTTGTACAATGTAAATATGGTTTGGAATGAATCAGTTGGGCGTGGTGGTGCATACCTGTAATCAGCACAGAAGAAGCCAAGGCAGGAGGATCAGGAGTTCCAAGACAGGCCGGGCACCAGGGGCTTAGGCCTGTCATCCTAGCTACTTCAGGAAGCTGAGCTCTGAGGATCGCGGTTCAAAGCCAGCCCGGGCAGGAAAGTTGTGAGACTCTGATCTCCAATAAACCACCAGAAAACCGGAAGTGGCGCTGTGGCTCAAGCGGTAGAGCACTCCCCTTAAGCTGAAGACCTGAGGGACAGCGCCCAGGCCCAGAGTTCAAGCCTCATGACTGACCAAAAAAAAAAAAAAGCTCCAGGACGGACTGGCCTGGGCTACACAGTGAGAGACCCTGTCTTTAAAAAACAACCCCCAAAATACTATAGCCTGGATACCTTGTAAGTATGCTGAGTGAAAGAAGTTGGACACAAGCGTCTGCATGTGCTATATGACACGCTTCAGAGCAGACAAGTCCCAGGAAGTAGATGGGTCGTGGCCACGGCTCAGCGAGGGTACGGACCGAGGAGACGCATGCGGGTCGGTACGCGCGCAGCCCCGGCCAGTGTCCTAAAGGTCACCGAGGAGGACTGTCGTGTCGATCTGACACGAGGTAAAGCTTGGCGGAGCTGCACGCGCGCCGGCGCGCACGGGGGACACGCGGGGCGGAAGCTAACCCCCGCGGGGCAGGGGCGGGCCGGTGGCGGCCGCCTCGAGCTCCGCTTCGGGCCGACCCGGGCCCGCGGAAGCCGGCTCAGCAAACAGACCGAGCCCGAGGGCCCCGCCCCTTCCCGGCCCCGGCGGCCCCGGCGCCCCCGGCCGGGACACGCGGAGATCACGCCCAGGCCCGCTTCTCCACCGTGAGCCCCACCCTCCTGGACGCCCCGCCCCCGGCGGGCCCCGCCCACCACATCCCGGGCGCCCCGCCCACCAACCTCAGACCTCGCCCCACCTCCTGTACGCCCCGCCCCAGCTCCCGCAGGCCCCGCCCTCCGCCTGTCAATCAAAGCCGTCCCGGCGGCCCGTTGTTATGACGACACGGTCGTAAATCCGCCATCTTCCTGCGGCGCGTTGCGACATGGAGGGCGCGATGGCAGTGCGGGTAACGGCCGCGCATACGGCAGGAGCCCGGGCCGAGGCCGGGCGGGAGGCGGGCGAGGGCGGGGTCGCGGCGGCGGCCCTGGCCCCCGGGGGCTTCCTCGGCCTTCCGGCGCCCTTCAGCGAGGAAGGTAACCGGGTCCCGAGGGCCCAGCGCGGCCGGGAGCGGGCGGCCCGGCCCGGGGACGGCGGGGCCCGCCGACGCCCTGGCCCCGGGCTCCTCCTCGGCCCCGCGGGCTCCACCGCCGGGCCCGGGCCGCATGCGGGCCCGCAGGGCGCCTGGTCTCGGGGCCCCTCGGAGCGGGGCCGGCGCACGCTGTGGGCCTGGCGTCGGGGCCCGCTCGGGGCTCGGGCCGGGCCGGGGACTGGGCACC